ATTAATAAATAATTCAAAAAGAGAAAATGTTTGATAATATTTTAGATGTGGTTATTGTGGTGAAGAAATTTATACACGTTATGCAGCAACTTATCATATAAAATATAAACATGCTGGTATGGCACGTAATTTTATTCAGAATAAAGCTGATGTAACACAATATTATGTTAATCGAGCAAAAAAAGATGAAGAAAAAAGTAAAAATTTCGTTTTATTTATTTATTTAAATATTTTCATTTAAATTTTACTTTTAGATCAATTTAAAGTCATTGATACACGTCGTGTTAAAGTTCCAACACGTAATGGAAAATCAGCAATCAATCAAAAACCTACAAATGAATCATCAGTTGAACGTCCTGTACAACATGTATCTTCACCTCCTCAATCAAATGTAGTTTCTTCAACACCTCCACAAACATCAACATCAAAATCATCAACTTCATCTTCAAATAATCCACAAATACCAACAGTTCCACAGGATTATCGTTTTTTATTAGCATGGTCTTATTATTTAGCATCACAAGCTGCTTGGCTTTCACCTATGTTACAACAACAACAAGGTCAACTGCCACCTTCTTTATCAACTGATCCTGAAGCAACTGCAAAATTTTTACAACAAGCTATGCAATCCGTTATGGAACCTTTGATAACAGCACAAACATCGAACCATAATAATAATAATAATAATAATACAAATGATGACGATGATAATAATCGTGATGATGATGATGATGAACAAAATGAAAATGAACGTGAATCAGAAAAATTAGTTGCTGTTAAAGACGAAACAAACGAATACTAGTAGATATAATCATCTATCTATCTATTCATTTCATATCTGACGCACAATAACCGGTGATTAATCCGCTAATATTGTCTATTTTGTGCTTGATATCATTCATCTACACGCAATGTGGTTTACTCGTAAGTCTATTTCATCTTCTTTTGTTATTGTTTAATTTTTTTTCTTTTTTTTTCTATGTTTCTCACATCTATGTATTCATTGATAATTCTTTTTCATTCCTTTTTTTTTCGTTTATTTGCTTTCTGATGATAAATGGTTTTTTTCTATGTTGTTCGTATGTGACATTTGTAAAGAGACATTAAGAGAGGAACAGAATTGTGATGACTTTTGCTTGTTTTTTTTATGTGTCAGTGTATGTTTGTTTCTTCTGTTGTTTTTCTGGGAAAAATAAAACTAGCATGAAGTTTATTATACTTTGTTTGAAATAGTCTATGAATATAGCTACATATAATTAACAAACATATGTGTATCTATGTAATTCAAACAGCAGAAATATCGTGGTACATCGATAGAGCTGTTCTCCGACCAGCACTTTATTGCTGGTATACCGATGGTAGTGTAGAGAACTGTGCAGCATAGGGAGCTTATGAAAAACTTTGTTGAACTGAATTAAAATGCATATTCGTCTGTTTCATTGCTATTTAAAAGAGTAATCAAAATAAATTTCTTATGAAAATATTTCAATTATGACGAAATTATTATGTTGTGATTCATTTGAGAAGAAAGAGAGAAGTCTCAAATGTTTGTTAATAGGTAGGCCATAAAAATTAGTATCATTTGCATTTCGTCTTTTTCTCAATCAATTTTCATTGTAGAAATTTGTGCTCGGTCTCAAAAGATTCTTTTTTCAGCTCTTTATTAAATTAAATTAAAACGTGTACAAGCTAGACTTCTACTTAAGAAAAAAACAAACGCATAAAATATTACCCTTCTCCAATGAGTGCAAGTTTCCAACATGAAAAAAAACAGTTGTTTAGATTTTATTCCTGAAATTTCAGTCGTTTTGAAGCCTACAACAAGCTGTACCTTTCATCTATTTTTAAACAATCGTCACACCGGCGCCTGTCACTGAAAAAAAAGAGTGCTGTTTACGAAAATTTACAAAAATTATGCTTTTGAATTTGTACTGTTGAGAATTCAATCAGTTTGTTACAAGTTTACGAAAACTTAATCCTTTGAGTCTTTTATTTTTTGAAACACGATCTAAGAGTAGTGTTGAAGTATATGGGGTAGAAATTTCGATCCTTGCCACAGAATGCTCAATGCGCTGTGGTTATCTGATTAGAGACGACACATCCATAATATCTTAATGTAAAATATGAATTACTTCCTGATTTCAGTTCTGAACGAATGAGTAAAAGTTTCGTTTAGAAATGTGTCGCAAAACAGATAGATTAAAACGATCTTCCTGTGATTGCCAAGAACAGCCACATCGTGTTGCATATTTTAATTTCACAGAGATTGCGCTAACAATTTTTATAATTTGAATAGAAATGAATGGCACATTACACTGAGCGTTCACAATGAGAAAATAATTCTGTATTAAGATGAAATTACCAACATAAGTCTAATGTTGACTACTTTCGACTCAATTTCAAGAAGCCAGTTTCTACGTCGTAGTGCTTGATTGAAATTAGTTTCACTGTTTATCATGAGAACGAATTTTTGTCTATTGGAACTGCAGAAATTTCTCTGGCATTTTTTGTATTTGTCTAATGGTTGGAAAAAAAACAAGTTTTTCTGAAAAGGAATCTCTAGAAAGTTGTATATGGTAGAGAAGCGCCTTATTGTCCGATCATATTGGAAGCATCGATTACAAATGTTTTAATGTAATTTTGTAGCGAATTGACAGGAGAGTCTTGTGAAACTTAATGCAAATTTTTATCATGAAAGCTGTTTGATTTTGTTTTTGTTTTTTGTATATTCATATTATCGTTAGAAACTTCGTTTGTTTTCAAAAAGCATCAATCGAAACAAAAAAAAAAGCTTGATGAATAATATGACGAGCACTTAAGTGTATGCTGCAATGAAGAGTCCAATAAAATGAAATGATAACGATTATTATTTGTATGAGTAACAAGTTGTAGTTTTTAAATGTATTTTCGGTCAATTTAAAGACTTATATAGAAGACTTATCTTAATATACGAAATGTTTTTTATTTCAGTTCATTTATTTTATTATTCATGTTTCTCTAACCGTTGATCAATGATAGGATGGATTAACCGATAACTCTATACATCAGCATATTAAGTTATAATTTCGAAATTTGACTAAAATAGTGCTCAAGATTTTTAAAAATTTGATGTTCTTTCAAGCATCTTTTGACACGAAAGAAAATAAGTCCCTGTTTGTTCTTCAAGACAAATACCATGTGATGCCAACGTATACGTCGTAGGACAAGCTCGGATAAATTTATTCAATTATATGAATGATTTTCAGTATGAGGGTAGTCTCTGTGGCAAATGTACAAAAATTGGAGAAGATGATGAACGAATGTGAATTAGATATAGACTGATACTCGGATAAAAGCAATCAACTTGGATATGGTCATAGGATTATTGATGAATATTAGAGGAAGAATGTTTTGGTGGACTTTTTTGCTGTACAGTTGGTTAATTTACATGAGATATCGATAATCACTGCATCGAAATTTGATGTTAGAGATGTTCTCAATGATGTCTATGCTTTAGATAAATGAGGATTTAATATCAACCAATGTGCTTGTATAAACAATCAAATTTTCTATTTGATAAAGTATCATATACATATTATTTATTGAAGAAACATGAAGAAATAAAAAACTTGAGTTACTAATCACTTTATGCTACTTTGCCCAAGACGAGTGTTATATTGATCTTAAGAAAACATGCCAATCTTGGTCTAAGTTATTGTAGAGTCCTACATTGATCTACGACATATAGATGTGTATATAATGACGACAGTTTATAGTTATTATTGTGTTGAATTTCATAAAAAATGATATCTTTTACAGACAACATATATGAATCGCATGTCCAGATCAAATACGTGAACATATTTGATAAAAAAGTTGCATTTGTTGACTGATCAATGGGTCAAAGTTGAATTGATAATAAAGTTTCCAAAAGTGACGTTATCAAAACAGATCAATCGTTATTGATTCTAGACGATATTATAAGCAAAACGAGTTATACTAAAGTGTATTGTTTTTTCTTCGTTGTTGAAAGTTGAAAAACAAAATAGAACAGCACAAAAGATAAAGTTAGTTTTATTAATCTATAGTAAAGGCTACATTTCGACCACAAGAATTAAACAGAAAATCTTGCTGATGAGCTATTTTTGGCTAGAAAATCAAGATCCTTTTTTTTTACACAAGAATTTTGACCAACAATCAACAAAAAGTAAGAATCGTAGAAGAACAAGTCCAAGAAAGTTCTACTAGATTATGTCGTACCATAGAAATTATTCTTTTTTTTTGCTTAATAAAACCTTCATATTTTACTGTTTTACCTTTGTTGTTCTTTTTTCACTAACAAACTATGTTTCATATTGTTCTATGAAGCAATAATTATAAGGTAAAATACGTATTCTATTAAAGTATTAATTATTAAAATTTAATATTCCATGTAATGTTATTTTACTAATTTTTACATTCGCATATATAAGAATATCTAATAGAAAATGATTTCGTTTATATTTACTAAAGTATATTAATCAAAAGCCTTGAAAAGAAGCGAATGCACTTCGATCGTTACACTGATTTCATAATCAACTTGAATTACTATTATACAAGCATGACAAAAGAAAAGCATATTTTCTTTTTCATCCGCCCTCTTTTTTTTTCTTTTATTCGTAAAAGCTTTTATCTTTCTTCTTTTCTATTAACATTAAGAAAAAAAAAAGCAACTGAGGAGCATATAAATGTCTATCTCATAAACATATCCCAATGAAAAAAGAAGGCTCGAAAGAAAAATATTAATAAATACACATTGTCATTTATTACCAAACGTTTTCCTTGATTTCTGTCGTGATTTAACTAATATAAAATAAGTAAATTAATCTCCAAAAGTAGTTTAATCAATAGTCATTTACGAAATAATACGAGAGAAAAAAAACGTAGAAGCGTTTCAAATGACTTGCCATTTTATATCTGATCCATTATATGTATAATTTTGTTTTTAATCGATATTAGTAATTTTTTATATGATGATCATTCTAATATATAGTTTGAAGCCAAGATAAAAATTGAAGATCGTTTAATTTTGGACGTCGATTTTCGTTGACATTTATACACTGTTTCATTGTATGATATATCTCTTTTTCGATAGAACTCAAATAGGGTAAATTTAATCGACCTTTTATGATATCAGCTTTTGAACGAAATGGATACAATTGATAAAGTAGAAAATAGAGGCAAACACCTATAGCCCATACACATGCTTTTTCACCATTATAACGTCGTTGAAGTATCCATTCAGGTACCATTATTTCTAAAGTACCCTAAAATAAAATAATATTTAAATCTACATTTAAAATAAAAATAAATCTAATAATCGAACTTGAAATTCATGAAAATCTTCTAATTGTACAGGTGCAGCTGAACCAAAATCAATGAAACGTAATGAACGATCATTCTTACAATAAATTATATTCTCTGGTTTACAATCTCGATGCCAAACACCATACATTTGTAATGTTATATTAATACGAATTATTTCTCGAAATAAATGTCGAAATAATTCTGTATTAGCTAATAAAGGATTTTCCATAACTAAATCAAAAAGTGTACATGAATTTGGAATTTTTTCCATAATAAATATAAAACGATCAACTTCTTCAAAATGTTCTAATATTTTTATAACACCGGATACACCTCGAAGACGCCAAAGAATTTCTATTTCATATGGTACACGTTCCTATAAAAAAAAGAATGCGTTTTTTTTTCTTATCCTTGATTAAAATTTGAAAACAAAAACAAAAAATTTACATACACCTTCAAATGTTCCCCAATTAAGTATACGATCTTTTGGTAAAACTTTAATTACAACAGGTGAATTATCTGATCGTCTTTGACCATCATATACTTGACCAAAACCACCTTTACCCAAGCAATAAAATATTCGATATTCACGATTAAATGTTCTTTGTATTTTATTGCCATTTGAAAAATTATTTGCTATTATTGATGGTCGATCAGAATAAAGTTTGTAAAACTCATAAATACCATTGTCCATATATGTTGGTGTCTGTTAAAATTAATAAACCGAATGACAAAAAAAAAAACAAGAAAAATAATTATTCTTACTAATCGTTCAATTTTTGGATAAGCATAATCACCAAATGCTTGATATTGTGAACTATTGTTATTTGGAATAAGTTGTAATTGTGCTGGCATTAGCCAGGGAGCAAAATCGTCCAACCACTGTTCGTCACTGAACCAATTATTCATACCTGTGTATACACAAATAAAAGCAAGAAAACATAATATTAAATGTGCTTTTATATATAAAACCGCAAAACAAAGAAAAGAGAATAAATTGATATACGGACATATATATTGTTGTCAACATTTTCTTTATGAAAATTGCTCAGGTATAACTATAATTTTCTTTTTTTTGTACATCTATTAGATGAAAATTGAAGCTTTATTCGAAAATATACTAAAACGGTCATGTTTATATGCTTCTGAATGATATAATTTGATCTGAACCACAAACATTCATCAATACATCTATTCACGCTCCAATGAATCCTATACGAATGCGTCTAATTACGTTTGCAATCACACAAGTACATGCATATATATATATATATATATCATCATATATAGAACTACGCATACTTGTTTTTTCATATTGTTAAATTGACATCGTCAACATTAAAAATGGTGCAATAGAAAAATCAAAATGAACTGTGAAGAAAAAAAGAAATTTCTATTTAATGTTCTATTGTTTCTACAGTATCATCGTCATTAAATCTTTCCTCTTTTTTTTAAATTGACGCTTCTCTTGCCTTCACCTTATACATGATCGATGGGTATGCAGTACAGCAGCACATAGATAAACATCTATCCATTTATACATTCGTTTTCTTTTTTTCCCCACACTGTATTCAATCATATGATTTGTTTCGCTTAGGCAGGCCATACTCTCATTTTGCCACTAACCATCAACACATGACACTTTGATGATGCGACAGAAATCAATGTGTCTAAAAAGTTATGTTTTTTAGAGCATTCTCTACAATGGACAAGAGAAAATCAAAAAAATGCTTGAAATATAGATTTAAGTCAACATACCGCATCCTATTTTGTTATTTATATTTCATGTGTAAACATAGAAAATATTATTTAGTTACGTGTACCTTTCTTAAAACAAGTGTTTTTTTTATACACGCAATTCAATTTTTACCGTGATATATTGTTAATGAAAATGTACAAAATGTATACGATAATTGATATCTGTGTAATATAGTATTTGATTGCCACCTCAATTATGCAAGGGTATTTATAAATAAATAAAAAAGAATTCGAGGTTTTTTTCTCTTTTAGATCGATTGAGCGTAAAGTTGTAAAACGTGAGTCCAAGATAATTACATAGTTATTGATAGACTTTTTTTACGTAGAAAAAAAAGCATGAATTCAAAAACTATAGAAATGAGTAATATCACTAGAAATATGCCTTCTTAATTTATTTCAAATGAGTAGCATCTTGAAAAAAAAATTGTACCTTTGAATCAAAACATGATAATTTACAGGTAAATGTATCAATATTTTAGGCAATAAAAAAATACATTGATAATATCTATTTCGATGTTATCTACATTCTGCCATTTGATTAGGACATTGAAAAGAATGGTCAATATGAAAATAGATGATTTAGAGCTCTAACTCTACTTGTTTTACTATGAAAATGATAGTATAAAAAATAAGTGTCATGAGCTGACTAAAATTGAGGAGGGGGAGTGTGCCTACTCTAGAAAGGTAGAGCTCACAACATTGAAGTGGAGGGAAGACTCTTGTCGTAAGTGTTAAAGAACAAAAAGAAAAAGAAGAAAGTCGTTCAGTTTCACTGAGGCAAAACGAAAATTTTCAAAGATTGGTGAGGGTCATTCTTTGCTCAGGACATCTCTAAGACAAAGAGAAGCATGAAATTTTTCATCAATATTATTCATATATATACTGGTTTTTCATAGAGAATAACATAATGAATGATACCAGAAAACATTCATGTATAATAAATTTTATTCTCGATTTGTTTAATTTTCTAAATTAATAATATTATTAGAAAAAATGACGTTTTAAATAAGAAAAATTAAAACTAAATCAATTGAAAATCTTTGAAGATCAAAGAAAAGAAAATGATATATTGAAAGAAAAAAAATGATCATGCGTATGGTGAATATGAAATCACCCATAAACATTGACAGTGAAATAGAAAAGGCTTGTTAATTTTGACCGATATGCTTATAAAAATACTTTTTTAAAGGTAACTGTCATTTATAACCTTAATATCAAGATTTGATAAAATAGTAAAAAAAAATACAACGTAGATTTTAAACAAAATATATTGATTAGTTAAGAATGTTGTAATTCATCGAGTTTAATAGTAATTAAACGATTATTTCTGTATATCAAATCGAATATTTTTGTTCTAAAAAAAGGAAGAAATTGTTTTAAAATTGAATATCTCGAATAAACAAAATCTGTAGAATTCAAAATATTTTCGTTCTATACAATATTATACTTATCTCAAAATCGACTTTTTCTTGTGGTGAAAATATTTATGTATACAGGTATTGTACACTACAGTTGACTGATACGATACATGTCGCATTTTCTGACAGATTATTAATAATGATCAGTACTGTGATGAATGAGACACACTATGTCATAATCGAAAATATAGAAGGCGTTATTTTTAATATGAATTGCTACCGTATACGTTTCAGTGTGTCTGTAACCTTCATATGTCTATTATACGAATGATTGATATGTCGTAATGGAAATATATTATGAAAATTAAGTGTGAGTCATGTTAGTTGTGGACAATGAATTAAATTAGAAGTTTTCAATGTTTGTTTAAGTTTTAAAATTAATAGAGATTATTCGTCTTGTAAAACAAAAAAAAAAATATTTGCGCTTCGCTGTAATATAAACATATTCCGAAGTACCCTTTTTTCGAAGTCTGAAAACTGTTGCAAAAATTTCATTAATGTAAATTTCTATTAATAGATTTTGACTGTGTGAATCTCACCTTCGAAAGAAATGAATGTCATAATCAGAAGCAGTGACAAAAATTGTATTGAGAATAGTATATGTGAAAGGAGGCACGAATCTGAAGTATTTGAAAATAATTGTGAAGAGATGTCAGGATCAAAATTTGATGAAAATTAGTTTTGAATAATAAATATAATATTCAATACAAATTTTTATATTGATTCTGAGTATGATATTCGTTTCTTTTGAAACTGAAGTTTAGATGATGAAAACCTATGAATACAAACTCATATTTATGACTTTTTTGCTATCATATTTTCAAAAAGCGTTTATACTTTTTCTTCTGACTATACAGCGAGTGCAATCAAAACAATATTGAAATTTGATGATTTTACTGTATTCCAATTTTTATAGGTTTTTCTGATATCTCTAAACTTAATCAATAAAATTTTTTGGTCAAATTTCAAATTGTTGGTACCTTATCATACAATTAACGAATAGAACTAAGATCGTTTTTTCTCATAAGAAGTCCTAATATAGTTCTTTGTACTTTGAATCTTCTCACTTACACTTATCAAAACAAATGAATGATCACCTTTTTCTTTCTTACATCGAAAGTATTTGGAAACAATTCTTTTTAAAATTGTTGTTCAGATACTATCATATGAAAACATTTTTGGAATGTCTTTCGTGTATATATGATCGATATATTGTTTATAGAAGACGTTAATATCAAATCTAATGTTCCTTGATGATCATATCTGGTTTTATTCTTCTTTATAAGAAAACGAAATCATACATTGTAACGATTAATCAGTAAATGAGCTTTTCTCTTTGATATTTCATACATATGTACAATGATATCGCATAAATTTATACCGGACATACACATATGTATATGTACTGAATGTAGGTCACCAGAGAGCTATTGTCCTTCTTCTTTTTCACTATTGCCATCGAGTAACTGTCAAGATAAAGAAAGAATAAATAACTAATTCTGTATGTGTTTTTCTTTTTTAGTTACATGAACCAAAGTCTTTTCTTGTTTCCTCTGGTGATTATTGATCATCGTCATTAATTTAATCGAACACTAAATTTATCTATCTGGATGTACTAGTTATTCAGTTGAACAAGTCACCTTTTAATAGATCGAAACAATAAAATTGAATGATATGCATCTAAATGATGCTGAACACGAATAAAATGCATCTGCTTCATCTACATGCACTTATGGAAATAGTGGCGGTTTGTCTCAAACAATCACTTTAGATCGCATAGTGATTGTCTGTTAACCTTATCAAATCTATTGATCGAATACAACAGAGAATGAAAGTAAGAGACAATCATTTGATGTTCTCATGTCCATGATTGCATATATTCCTTCTATCGATCATAAACAATTATTTAGCTGCTTGTTTTACCTATGTGTTACTTATAACAAAAATACAAGTATATTATTGAATTTTAATTGATTGAAAAGTAGTAACTTCAGTAAACAGAATATGCAATTGAACAACTTGTGAAAACTATAAAATTTGAAATAAAAAAGAAGTAGTTGAGTAGACAATTTAATCGATTTAATAATATTAACAACATTTTTTTATGTATATAGAGAAGATAAGAAAATAAAAATATATAGATTGATTGATTGAAATCAAAAAATACATTTTAGTACAAATAGTTTTCATCTTTAGCAAATTTACAATCAACTAATTGAATTTATGTAAAAACTAAAAACATTGAAATTTAGAATTTATTATGAACAAAAACTAGAATGGACTATGTTCATAAAACGAATTCTTTATTCATATTTTTTATTTTTTTCAGTACATTGACCATCAGTTTTCTTTCTCAGCTCTGGTAATCATTTGCTAATATATGCATCAGAAAAGAGCAAGTTGATAGGAAACAAAATCTATCGATTGGTTTACAGAGAAATATAATTGACCAATGTTTTATTTTCCTCGTCTGTGTTATCATGTATATAAATATTTATGATTTTTTTTTTCTCGCTTAGTAGGCTTGAAACTAGGCCATATTCAGGAAGGTCAACATCAATTACGAAGGAGAAAGAAAAAAAAAGGTAAGCATATGAAGTTTCTCATGTTCAGTAATATTCTCAGAGCAACAAAATGGATCTGTTCCAATTTTGAGCTATCCGATAGTCACTAGACTGATTTTATTTTTAAGTTAAACGTATATGCATCATGAAGAAACGAGATTAAAGAGACAATTAAATTATCTTTAAAAAATATTCTTGACAGAGATTAGGAAAAATATTAATGTAATTTCAATGTGATCGATATATACTGGTGCGAGATCTGCATAAACATGCATCAAATTATTAACATGGGACTTCGTTTAATCAAGATAATAAATCTACTTTAGTAGAGATGTGGCACAATAAGAAAAATATTTTGGAATTTGGATTTAGTCTTGAACAAAAATAATATAAATAGTTTGCATTTTGATAACACTGTAGTTACTTTACCCTTTTGCTGTTCATTCAAAAACAAGATTGTAATTTTGTCTAGACAATATTGAAATTTTTTAATGTTGATCACGATAACTATATTAACTTGTTTTTTCTATGTATACGCACAATTAACTAAAGATGAAGTGGACCATCATTAGCTGAAGAGATTTCACTTGCATATTTAAACACATTATCCTAGTATCCTAAAAAACATCTGAGTATAATCTATGTAGTCAAAAGTATTGTGTATATCACATCTCAAAAACACATGACACTCATGATCAATATAATGTGATATTTATGGGAGCATGTGCATCATTGAAAATGGGCGGATGATATACATATATTGGCCAATTCATATAATTAATATAGGAAAAAAAATGAATACATCACAATGATAGTTAGATAAAAAAGAAAGTTAAGAAGTTAAATTATTTGTGTTTTATGTGTAAATAAGAAACTATATTGAAGATGATGCAATATGATTGTACTTATGAATCGAATATGATTAATGATTCAGATATGGAAGAAAATATTCATTCATATCCAGTTTATCAACAACAACATAAGTATGACGAATGTTTAATTATAAAAATAAATTAATTTTAATATTTTATCTTCTTTAGCTTTTTAGCATCAACTGTATCAAATAATAATAATAATAATATGATAACAACAAATGATATATATCAATCATCATTGTCAAATAGTAATACAAATTATCAATCGTTTTATTTTCCTTCATCAATTGACTTTAATAATTCAAATCAATATCATTTCGATTATCAATCATCAACTCACCATATTGATCCATATTCGAATATATTTCCAAATAATTCTTCAATAGATCCATATTCTACTCAAACAATATATAATTCAACATCAATAGAATCATCGACATACATGCCACCTACAGATTCTTATCAAACTCTTCATTCAGTATATATTCATTCGAATGCTACTATTCCATCAACAATGTCTCAATGGAACTTAGATACAATGAAACTGTCTAGTCATGATGGTATGTCTTTAAACTTCTTGTGTTCTACATCCAAAAATAGACGCCAACTTGTCTTGTTTTTGTTGGCTTTCTTTGGCCTATACAAAGAAACAATGAAAGAAAAAAAAATGTCTGTCTGTTTTCTTTTTAAAGTTATATCACCATCGAATTCTAGTAAACAACCGTGTGTTGTATGCCATGAAGAATCATCCGGATATCATTTTGGTGCATATACATGTGAATCATGTAAAGCATTCTATCGACGTGTAACTAAAGGTAAAATAAAAGATTGTAATAGATCTACATGAAAATTTCTTAAGAATATTCCCTCTTTCCAGGATTTTTGAAGAACAGTTCATTGGAAAGATTTGAAATTATCAGAACAGATAGATCTCGACGAATAGAGAAAAGTTGTCATAGACTCAAATTTCTCAGATATTGTCTTCTCTGGAATATCATAATTATAACGATGAAAAAACACCCTATATTTTTGCTCTCGTTTTTTCAAGATGTTTCGTTCGATCAAGCTGAAAATTTTGCTACAGATACTAGATACTGTTTGGAGTAGGTGCGTTTTTATTTTTCGTTCTTCGAATAAAAAAAACCAAATTAAGCTGTTTTCAAATCGGTTAACATTTCAAGACTATTTTTCGATCCTAAAAATGTACTCAGTAGATACATAGAGAGTTTGTTTTTCATTATGAGCTTTTGAACTTTTTTGTCCATGAAGAAAACTTCGATCGATTATCATAAATACTTTCGTATTTTTTTTTCAATAGATCCAAACATTGAAATTAAGCATTCTTGTGAAATTCCACTACCAAATATTACAAAATTAAACCGAAAAGATTGTCGAGCTTGTCGTAAAGATAAATGTGAACGAGTAGGAATGACAGTAATATCAAAAGATCGTATAATACAAACAAAATCTATATCAAAATCTTCTTTAATATCAATGAATAATTTACTTGAACAACTTGCATATGATCTTACGTATAATCAATTATCAACATCATCAACATTAGAAAATCTCTTTCATCTACTTGATTTACCATCAATTATTACAATTAATTTTGATTATCATTCACTTTATATGAATGCTATTCAAATATGGAGAAATCAATATAATCATTTTTCACAAATATTTACTAATATATCATTAAATGATACATTTGCTGTACTACTTTTTCTTTTTTATTGTCTTATGATAATGAAAGAAAATAATGATAATAAATTAACAAATAATATTAAATTTGATAAACTTATACATATACTTCAACAAGAAATTAATCGTGTAACTGGTACAGATCATCGATTAGCTTGTCGAATAAAAGCTTTATTTATGAAATCTTATGTTGCACTTGCTCAATATTATCCAAATAGTATAAATTTATTTGATAGTAATTATAATTCACAATCACAATCTATTCTTTCATATCAATAATATTCAAATCATGATCAATAGTAACTGTTTCCTATTGTGTTATTTTCTTTTCTGTATGTGTTTCGTTTTTGTATTACATTACATTTAATAGTAAAATATCGGTTTACAATGAAAGAGTAAAATAAAGATTTTCTTATAAGAATATACTAAATTTAGATCATACAATTTATTGGTTTTTTTTATTTCAAAATTTTGTAGAACTTTATATTTTTAAGTTAAGACAACTTTTAACAAGCTGTTTATGATTTACAAAAGAATTCTTTTGTAACCCTTTACAGTTCTGCAATATTGAAAAAAAATTCCTCGTTCTTTCGTTTAATAAAAGCAAACTTTGCTAAATTATTTTGCTTATCTATGAAAGCAGCTCTTCAGTTGTCCTCTTCTGATTTTCATAACCATTCGCCTATAGATACTATATAATGTTCTAATAAAAAATCTAAAGAGATTTTGATCTGAAACTCTACTGATATAAAGAACTCAACTAAATTAGCTTCATTAACTAAAAGCATAGATAATCGCATTTATTTAGTACTAAATAGACACAATAATCTGTAAAAATTGCAAAGAGTTTTCTTGGCTGAATGGAAGAATGGTGAGTTTTAAAATCGTTTCAGAACTTCCAGAACATCTTTTGTACATTTCTGAAAGCCTCGAAATTGTATCTGAACTCTATGATGCGTGCAAAATCAAAGCCTCTTGTGTGTTTTTACAGCGTTGTAAGAATTTTTGGAAAACTTTCGATTTTTGACCTTGACTCATTCACAAATAAGTCAAAACATGAGCCTTTATCAGACAAAGTACAGTGGCTATATGTTCTTTTTAGTTTCAAAGTGATCTAAAGTCAATTTATCAAGGTTTTTAAAAATCTTCATAGACCAGACATCTTTTTGTTTCAATTAGAATAATAATAAATAATGAAATATCCTTCGTCAACAATAACCTAGGATGCATGTAACTAAAAGCCAAACAATTAAAATGTCAAAGTACTGAAAGATTTTCATGAATAATAGTTAAACAAGAATATATTGCATCATTTTTGTTTACAACAACAATATCGTAATGTAATTGATTGAGAACAAAAACAAACATTATAGAAAGATACCCACAGTATTCCATAGATGATGGAACGTATAGGTTGAGTGAGGCTAAAGCTTCCCCGACTTTCGCTCTTGTAGGCTCAGACTCGATCAATGTTATGAATTTGAGATTTGATCGCTTGTAACTTTAGGATGTGGATAGAGATGGGGCGCTTCCAATATCTTGAGTCCATTTGGTTTATCGTTTCTCCCGGAAACGATAAAAAAAATGCATTTATTTTTCTATAATACTGTGAGTACGTCTAAATTTGTGCGTCAAAATCTATACATCTTAGTTTATACATCCGAATGAGTACGTTCCAATCTATACGTCTTAATCTATGCATCTTTTTTGACACGTCTAAATGAGTACGTCCAAATTTGTCCTAATCCATATGTGCTACAGATTTCATTCGGGTTGCTAGTAGCATTTCTGAGAATTCTATTGGCATCCTCAATCATGCTAGTAAACGAGAAAATCACGATAGAATTGACTGTGTACGCCGAGACAAGTATGGGTCGTGGCTCTTCAGGGGTCGCTACGCGTCCCCGCGCCGTGATGCTGAAATAAAAGGCCAGTTAGGCGAGGAAAGTTTGTTTTTATTATAGTTTCGTTCAATTCAAGTCTGAAATTTAGCATCTATCAGAGATTCTGGAATATTACATGTGCATATAGATTTGGACGTACTCATTTAAACGTATTAACAAAAAAAGTATCGATTATTTAGCCGTACTTTGGAATTCTCTGAGAAATGGTTGTTATTTGTTTTATCAGCATTTTTCAGAGAAATCATCAAGCAGATTATCTGCATGCCCTCCACCCACATCACACCAACACCCATATCATCACCCTACATTGATAGCACTTTCAATATTTTTTTCCTTCGATATTTTCCACTTTCGACATTTTTTGTTTTGAACCTTTTTTATACCACTCAACAAACATATCTATTTGGGCAGTTTTAGTCTCGTCCTTGTGTAGTAAGTTAATACATCCTTTTAAAAGTTGATCAACGTCATCAAAAAATATCAAAAATATTTATTTATTATTATTAATCATATCAAACAATGAATTGACATTTGTTCTTGGTAAAGAAACTAATGCATCTTCATTAATCTAGCCTTGATCTGAGAATTCATCACGATAAGCATTATTTATTATATTAGCTAATGAATCACAGTCATCTACTGTAGCAAGACTATAGATCAGAGAATTGGAGCTTTCTTTACTATGATCAGAATCGACTAATTCTGTATTTGTGGTCTTGTTAAAACTCATTTTAAGGAATAAATAGAATGTGGCACATTTGTTTTGATAAATTGATATCGAATGAAAATATCTACAACGGAAACTCTTATGAGTAATAAAGTAGATCACTTTTTCAAGTTTACATTTTAAATATTAGTTAGAACTTAAAGATCATTTTGAAATTCATTTTCCATCGATTTTACTTATATGTAACTAACAGAATATATCTTACATTGTTTTTTCCTTATCAAACTTTTTAAAACATAAATGATAACATGAGAAAAATGAATTGTTACTAAATCTAACAAAACATATAACGACATACATCAACTTTTCATAATTCTTACTTTATAGTGTCAATATTTAACGTTGGATATTTTCGTTAATATTCTGGTGGTCAATTAAAATGAATCTTAAATACGATGTCTTTCTATTTTGCATATATATTTGACAAAACTATGATTAAACCTAGAATGAATGACACTTGTTCATATCTCAATAAAAGATAACAATCATAACTAAGACACTCGAGTGATTCGATATATTTGGTTTTGACAGTATATTTTAAGAAGATTTGATAAGTTGTGAATAGAGTGACAACATTTATTAGTAAATAAATTGAAAAAACTTCGATGAACATGAATATGATTAACTTTCTTATTTCGAATAACGTAGATAGAGATCATTCATTAAATTTATCTTCTATATTCAATATTTAAAAGAGGATGTGGGTGTGGGTGTAATTATTGTAATAACCCACACCACCATCCCACCCACACCGACATCCTCTATATATTGCATATCTGATGTTAAAGCACGCCACAAGACATGAACATGTTTGTAATGAATTATCAAGATTTTCTCATTTTTGAAAAAATTCAACTTATTGTTTTTTCACAAAACAATTTAGAATATATTGTTCTTTAAAATCAATGAATAAGGTTGAGTTTTTGATGAAGCTCTACGTCAATTAATTAGTAAACGAGCTTTATAGTAAAATCTTTTCGTATATATATTTGTTTTAATGCATCAATTCTTTTCTAATTCATTTCATGAGTACTGTTCGGAACCCCATACTCCAATTAATGTAAAAGAAGATAACACCAGTTTTATCTTGCTATGATGCTGTAGTTATTGAGTGATTTTTTAACTTTTCCACTTTCAGCATCACATAATTTTGTTCATGAAACTAAATAAAATGGGTTTTATTTTTGTTAAAGTCTTTTACAAAAAAAAAATCGCCTTCTACTATCTTTAGTATCAATTTCATATGCAACGGTTAACTGTATAGATACTGATTATCCTTTGATATTTTTCATGCACAAAAAGAGAAAAGAATAAAACTGAACTATAAGTTTATTCTTTTAGAAGAAAATTATATTGATTTGATGAAACTTTTTTTTTATTTATAAAATCGAATTACCTTTAAGCACATCTCTACACTAGATAATATAAAATAAAGTAACATTTGAACTTCTTAATAATGATGGTCTTGTTGATAGTAAAATTTAAATTACTATTTGTTTTTTTCTGATTTAACTACTTTTGTTTCACTACATCCGATAGATTTTGCTGCTTCACTACAAAAATGATCATAGATACTTTAATTTTATTTCATTACTCGAAAAACCTTTCTGTTATTGCTGATAAAATTCGCACTTGCATATATTCATTATTATTACATATTTCTTTTATCATATTTTTCTAAGAAATATTCTATTAATGGACTATCATCGTCATTACTGGATATTTCCTATTGTAACATTATTAACTGGTTATTCTGATCTTAAAGATTGACATTCAAAGCCTTTAAAAAATATTTCTATTAAATAAGAGAACCTTCAACAAAAGTATTTTTATGAATAATTTACTTCAACTCCCATTGGTCTTGATATATTACCTCTTTCAGTAAAATAACCTGTTAATGTTGTACCATCATCATTTGATGGTAGTGGTAGCCATGAATATTGAATTGAATTCAATGGAACGATTTTCGTTAATGATGATCATCCTTCTGGTATATTTGAACATGTGTATGAACTTTTAGCAGTAATCGTACGAGTCGTTATTAATATTGGTAATATTCCAACACAATTCTCCCCATATATACGAAAATGATGTGTAACATTTTCAGTGAAATCAGCATGAGTAATTGATGATTAGAGAAGTATTTTTGTCTTATTTATTTCGGTATTTCGAACAAAATTTCTTTTTTTTCTCTTTTCTCTCTTAGCGTCCTAGTGTTTATTTGACGACTGGTTCGTATTTATTCTTTATCCATTTTCTATTCGATTATTATTACTTTTATCAAGATCCCCAATACAATTTGATAAACTTCGAAATATTGATAGGGATTATTTCCAAAACTGCGAACTTGATCAGTTACTCCTTTGGTGTTCATAATTAATTGAATTCCTACACAAATCACTCCATCTAAAGAATAAAAAACAAACGATCAATCGATCGAAGTTTATGTTCTTATAAATTTTATATCTAATGGTTTTATATGGTCATTTGTTTATCATCAACATATGTCATAAATTGTTGGTTAACCATAGGCGGTATTGAACGATCCATAGTGGCTTTATTGTTCGTTTCATTCATGAAAAAATTTTGAGGATACTGACGAGTAGTGGATAATTGAGAAAAAAAAGTTTTTTATTTTTATAGATATGGATTTGATTCTTCAATTCGACGTTGTTGTCGATAGTATTGACACTCTTTATTTTTTGGAAACGAATAAATAATTATTTTCGAATAATACATGAGTATAAGGGAAATCAATTTTGGTTGAGTATCATGATGATAACACTGAATGAGATTCTTGATAATGAAGATCGTATAGTTTTTATATTGGTATTAGATAAATAGGTGAAGATCGACATAAATGAAATTTAGGACTGGTACCGTATTTTATTTGCGATGACTAGTCTCTATTTATCAGAACAGTTGTAAAACTATACGAATCAGTTTATGAGAATCAAGAAGATTTTTAACATCATAAACTTGAGAGGATTATGACTAGTTGATTTCGAACGTCTTTTTCGACCTTCACGAAACCGTTCAATATTATCTTTAAACTGTTTCCAGACATGGACGTTATAAACAAAAATATTTTATCATGAATACGTCTCCCTTGAATATATAGTACAGTACGGCATTTATTATAGAAGTGACAGTTTTACTTATCTATCTAACTCAGAAATGAATAGCTTTGATCAAAATTCTTATATTATCAAATCAACTGAAGAATGATAATATCCAGTAGAATTATAGGATTAAAATTAAAAGTTATAAACATATTTCCTCTTTTATCTGTACACTTTTTTTGGAATCCTAGTCATCAAAAGAAGACGAAAATAGCTGTACAATAACAACTGAAATAAAAGAAATCATTCTTACATTTCTGTTGAATTCGTCGAAAAATATCGTGAAGTTTCTTTTTGACAGATAAACAGACATTTTTTCACGATCGTAATGAATTTGATTGTTAAATCTATTATTTTGATTTTTTTTTAAATTGATTTTGATCAATGTTTATAACGGAATTTTAATGATTTGTTTGTATAGAAACCAAGAAAACGATTATAGTAACTACGTCTAACATATATTTTCTGCACTTAAAATGATTTTAGTAGATTCTTTAAAGAAGGTGCAGATCCAGTCACATTTTTGACTTTCTTAGTCTATACACAAGAGTCCTCAACTACCAAATTTTACATATTTTCTATGCCATGGATATTGTATACTTTGAGTTGCGTCCATTCAACTAAAACTTTAAAAAAGCAACAGTATTTCAGAACAATGAAAGTCAATGAAACGCAAAAATATCCGATTTCATTTTTCATATTTCCTACTTCCGACTGATTCAATTAGTTGGTTAAATACAATCAAAACTCTCATTAAAATTCAATAGAAGGATAGATCAGTTTATTGAACGACGAAAAAAAGAAAATTTTACAATTTTCCTCGAATTTTTTCAAATGTGTTTTTATAGTCCAAGAGATTAGGATGATTTGAAGACAATTTCTCTTCACTGATTTCTATTGCTTGTTGAACATTTTTTATTGCCATACTATTTTGTTGAGTAGCTAAATATAATTTCGCTAAACTATGATAGATTAGAGCCAAATCAGGATGATTTTTTGGCAGTTTATGTTCATATATTTGTAATGCTTTCTGAAAATATGTCAAGGCTGTTGAATAATCTTTCATTTCTCGATAAGTTTCACCTAAATTCATATATGTCGTTGCACGATCCAGAGGACTACATTGAACATTTTCTTGAATATTTAACGCTTTCCGTTGAAATGAAAGTGCCATTTCATAATTACCCATCAATCTATGAATATCACCAATATCTGCGTATGTAATAGCCCGATTTGGATGTGTTTCAGGTAATGTTTGCTGACGTAGTGCAAGAGCTCTTTCAAAATACTCAAGTGCCTTTGAATAATCTTTCATACCACGATAAACTCTTCCTAAGCGATTGTAAGTAAAGGCATAATCTGGATTACCTTCTTGAAATGCTTGTCGTTGAATTTGAAAAGCATTTTGAACAGCTTTAAGAGCTGCTGCATAATTACCCATTCTTTCGTAACACGCTGCAAAATTCAGATTTGTGATCGCCACATCGGGATGAGTCAAGGACAGAGCCTTTTCTTCAATTTGTTGTGCTTTTTTGTAAAATTCGAGTGCTATCGAGTAGTCACCCATGTTGTCGTACACAAGACCGATGTTATTGTAGGACGTAGCCAAATCGGGATGATTCCGAGGCAAAGCTTTTTCGAATATTTCATGTACTTTTCCGAAAAATGTAAGTGCTTTCCAGTAGTCACCCATACTGTAATATGCTACACCGATGTTGTTGTAAGACATAGCCAAACCAGGATGATTCGGAGGCAGATCTGTTTCTCTTATGTGGAGTGCTTTATCGTAAAACTCGACTGCTTTCGAGTAGTTGCCCATGCTGTAGTACACCCCACCGATGTTGTTGTAGGACATGGCCAAATCGGGGCGATTTGGTGGCAAAGCTTTTTCCAATATTTTACGTGCTTTTTCGTAAAATTCAAGTGTTTTTGAGTAATCATCTATAGTTTTGTACACTTGACCGATGTTGTTGTAAGAGGTAGCCAGATCAGGATGAGTCGAGGGCAGAGTTTTTTCTTTAATTTGAACTGCTTTATCGTAAAATTGAAGTGCTTTCGAATAGTTGCCCATATTTTGATACACTTGACCGATGTTATTGTAGGACGTAGCCAACGAGGAATGGTTTGGAGGTAGAGCTTTTTCGAGTATTTTATGTGCTTCATCATAAAACTCAAGTGCTTTGGAGTAGTTGCCTATGTTAGTATATACGTTACCGATGCTGTTGTAGGTAGAAGCCAATGAAAGGTTGTCTTCTGAAAAAGCTTTTGGGTGGATCTCGAGAGATGCCTTATAAAATGAAATTGCTCTTTGGTATTGTCCTTGGTCATTTTTTAAACATCCAAGGTGATGATAGATATTCGATCTTTCACGTTCATCGGATGTCTGTTCCAGTAATGTTGTGTACAATTCTTCGGCTTTGTCGAATCGACCTAGTCTTAGCAGCAATTTACCTATTCGATGCCATCCAGTGCTACCTGTTACTTCTTTTCGGATATGTTCGGTTAATTGACGGAGTTGTTGATTGTCATCTGATGTAAGTTGAAGGTCCACTTCATAAAGTGGACTTCTGTCATCAATTTCCCGAATGTCATCAATTCGAAAAACGGTATGTATGGGAAAGAGAATTTCGTTTTCATTCTTGAAATAACTCACCTCCTGAATGGAGGCAAACGGTATCGATGAGATGGTGGAATCTATTGTTATTTGAAAAAGAATACCGACCATATCAGTTGTTGTTAATGCATTCTTGGCGAAATTGAAGGAGACATCTCGATTTTCACTGGTAGATAAAAGGTTATTGAAAGAAATAAGTCCACCTTTATTTCTAGTTAGTTTTTCGTAGTCTGCTATCAATAATCCTTGGCCTCGATAAACTAGAAAGATCTTTCTAAGATATTGACTACTCTGTCTTTTGTGTAAAATTTCAATTTGTCGATGTAAATTGCAAAGAAAAAATCCCATTCTGATAATGACATCACCGTCCAATGTTCGTAATGCTCGATTCAGCATTTTATATATGAAACATTGGCGTGTATACCACCAAATAGTTGATGTTGGATGATAAGTGCGTTGGAATTCATCAATAAGTTGGAGCTCTTCGGTATTGCCTAGATATTTTTCTTCACAAAACTTGACCAATTCTTTGATTGCTTTTTGATCATGTTCCGTGTCGAGAATGATTTCATTAAGTATTTGAGTGTACATGAAGACTAGATCTAGCTGATTGAAGTTTTCGCTAGAAACTTCTTCATTGACACCAATAATACTGATCGTTGTATTATTTTGATCACATTGCTTAACAGTCATTCGCAATAATTTGCATATGGACTTCATTGATTTGTGGACACCTTTAACTTTTGGCCAATTTCGAGCCCATGTTTTGTGAAATTGTTTGTTACGACAAAATATGTAAATACTATGTAACTGTGTCATCTCATGGATTTCTGGCACGAGATGTTTACCTAAAGATCCTGAAGTGATGAGAAAAACCTTCTCCAGAGTAATGCTATTAAGAAATTCAATAGATTCATTTGGTTGTGTAAAAGTGTTGACATCGTTGATGATGCCTTGTACTTTTGCAATTTTCTTTTGCCAACTTTCTTTTGATTTGTCGATAGTAGCATCAACCCAGATTACTAAATGGTTCTCAACAACGCGTCGTCTTTGTTCTCCACTCATTTTCAATGTATAATATTTGGTGTTCGGACAAATATTACCTATTCTCTTTATACTTTTGATGTTCTTTGTTTTTTTTTCTAGGTTTATTTTCGACGTCAAATGTGGATATTTTCTTTTTCATTCACACTCAATAACAAACTTTATCTAGTTGCAGTTGAAAATATGCTTGTTAAAAACAAATAAAAAGGAAAAAATCAACGACGTTATTAATGTGTTTGTTATTTTTTTCGACTTTCCTTTGCTTTTTATGCGTACAATGACTTTAATATTTTTGCATCAGATATCTTGTCTCATACCTTTTCTATTTTTTCTCGCTGTGCTTATCATTGTCATGCTAATTATGTGAATGAAATAAGAAGAAACATAATTCTAATTTTAAGTGATACAACAATTAAATAACAGTTTCTATTTGTCGAATATAATGTTGATTATTAATCAGTGATTGAAGTCAAACTACTGGTCTGATTCTGCTTAACTCTCAGTGATATTTATGGCGTCTCATTAGTGATTGGAGTAATGATGACTTTCATAACTGTTCTTCTTTCATTAATATCTATGATTCATAAAGAAGTAATATTTAAGTTTTATTTATTGCTATGTGCATGTAAAAGAAAGTCATTTATGTTTGCATATAAATGAAAAGCAATGAATAGAATCGCTGGTATCTGCATTTAATCGAAATCGCCAGAATTATTGAATTGTTCAAACAGAGAAGTTTGTTCCGTGAATAACAAATCTCGGCCGTAACATTGATTGCATGGTTCTTTTGAATTTCTTCTGAAGAAAAAACAAACACAAAGCAATTTTTGTTATGGGTGTCATCGATTTTATTTTTCTTCCGTTCGTCTCTGTATAACACGTGAAAATGGGATGATAAAATATGTAAACAAAGGGCTAATGAAGAAACATGATATTACATTTTTCTTCCTTTCTTTCTATGTAATTGCATCTCATGAATAGCTTTTTGTCCCTATCTGTTTATCTTCTTAAATTGTGTTGCCGAGTTCGAATCAATTAAAATGCATCATTGCATTACATTCATTTCGTTTCTATCCATGATAATTGATTTACGAGTATTTATTGTCGTGAAAATCTATATACTTAGTATGATTAGCATCATATTGACAAGATTGTTAAAATCGAACGCCTGTTCAAGGATCAGTTCTTTCGAGCATTTAGTTTTTTCAATGTGACAAAAACATTTAAAAACTTGTCATTATGTCAAGAGAGATTTTTTCGTAACCTTTGTTATTTTTGCAGATGTTTACATTGATATAATATATTTTTCATTGAAGATAAATTTTATGTCTCGCATTGTACTCAGCTAACATACTAAAGTGACATGTATAATAGACTTTACTACGAAAATGTGCGGTAATCTATTGGTTAATCATTTATTCATTGTTTTGCTTTGCCCAACAATGTATAATCAAGGTAAAGATATATGCTGCATTGTCGTAGAATTCGTTTGCTAGATTACTTGTCGATTAACATTCAGTGGAGAACATGTTGAGAGATCAATCAATGATCGAGATTGAATCACCTCGAGGTAATCTGACAGGGATCAAATCGTTCCGTACATCGTATTTCGCAATCAAGTACAATTCGAATACATTCTAGTGTTCTATATATATAATTTTAAGAGGAACTAATATTTTATATGATTGTGATAGTAACGTAGATGTAGTATCACCGTGCTATTTATTTTATACAGATACTTGAATATATACATTAAATGCAGCCTACAGTAGATAGTTAAAATTGGAGCCAGCACTCTATAATGTTTATGTATGTTATAAAACCAGGGTAAAAAGCCAACAGCTTTAGATATTATGTTTCAATATTTAAAACACCAATTTCATATATATTATTTAATATTGAGTTCAAGCAGTAGACACTTCAATATGTTGCTGAAAAAATATTGATTAGTCACTATAAACAAATGCATTCGTTTATTGTTCAACTTTGATGATTTGAAAATTTATTATTTCTGACTTAGTTATATTCTATGAGTAAGAGGGTGAAAACATTTGAAAATTTCTAAACTTCTCTAGGCTGAATATTGATCAAAAACTTAGAAACTATCAAAATAATTTTGATATATTTCGATTTTCTAATAGATGTACTAATCACGACATTATGAGAACCAATAAAATGGAAAGAAAGGTTTACACAAAAGAGTTATATATATTGTAAAAATTTCAACATATCAAAGCTACAATTAGATAATCGTTGTCATTATCTATGTATCATGTTAGAGTTCGATGATCCCGATTCGATTCCTAGAATATCACATCGAATCAAAATCATTAAATTATCAGATAGGTTCGAAAATCTTAAATCTATTTTGAAATATTTTCACTATTGAAACGTTGAGATTCAAGAAACTTCATCGTTGAATACTTATAGAGTATTATACATATAAATTGAAATTTTTAATCTTAAGAATAATAAAATGAAGATTTCTTCGCATAGTTGTAAGAATTTTTATATCTTTCTGTTTCATATTGTGGCTCATCATGGTGATGATACAATACCTCAAGAATTCTTAGCTAGACAGATTAATGATAGACAATGTCTAATTCAAACAACAATATATCTTAATAATGATTTATTTTCAGAAACTCATCGTCCATTTTCTATGATAAAAATGTTATTTCTCTAACCACAAAGAGAATTCAACAAGAATTAGATGAAATAACTGATTTATTATTTATTCTACAATGCTTCATATAATCTTATACAACATCTAGAATGTTATATTAATTAATGAATTACATATAGAAATGGATGGGTCAATGCAATAAATGAAGTAGAAACATTTGAGAAAAATTCTATTTCTATTAGAATAATGAATAGTCCACTCGATCCAATTACTGGAAAATGTATGGTTAATACGTATAGATCATTATCCAAATTTAGAAGATCTTGATAATAGATGAAAACATTTATTTGATTTTCATAATTCCATTTCGACTTTAATTTGTCATTAAAATAAAACAAAATGCGTAGAACAACGTTCTTCGAAACAGACAAAGTTATTTATTTATTTATTAACAAAATATACAGAAACTAGTCACTAAATCGGCTTCATTTTGTTGTTGATATTGAATTAGTTTTACTTATTTGTCCTGTACATTTTTGTGTGACTGAACTACCTACAGCTACAGATTGACTTTTAAGACTAGTATCTGTTGATGCGACCTACTTAAAAAAAAATTATAAAATAAAGAAGTCTCGTCGATCGAAACATCATACAAAGTTCAATTGAGATTGAGATTGAAATATTGCTGTCATAGTTGAGATTCGATTAGTACTAGCCACAATAGATGATGCAGTAAAATCTTCTCGTCAATCTGTCATTGGACCGAATGTAATTGTCTGAAAAAGAAAAATAAGCAAACTAAATATTAAGACAATGATAAGAGATGATCATAGCTTTTGTTTGATTCTGCTTACAAAGAAGAAAGTCTTCTAAGATTATAGAAAAACTATTTATTTATTAGTTTTTCTTAGAAAAGTATATTGTCAACACAAACTTTTAATACTCTCATTATCAATCATGAACACTTTTTCTTCATCGTTATTTCTTGTTTTAATATATTCATGAAGCAATTTTAGATCAACAGAAACAAATATGTTTTTACTACACACAAAAAGTGTTTATACTAATAGTTATTTATATATAGTTTTTGATATCGCAAGCTTTTACCTGTTCTAGACATATACAACAATTTTTTATAATATCATCTAAATCGTCTTCTGTAACATCTGGTTTTGGCATACTAAATTCTACAACTGTATTTAAGGATTTTAATGAGTTACATCGATTTCTTGTCAGTGAAAAAAATTTTATTCTTTGAAACTTTTATTATAAATAGAGATCATTTAAATCTACCATCAGTGAAAATTTCATTGATTTGCCTTTAGTACGAGCTAAGCCATTTGGAAAATACTGGTCGTTACACAATTTCATCAAACATAGAGATGATTGTCAAACGTGTTCGTATCTTAGTTCATAGACATGTATCATTTGAATGAAAGCCATATATTGAAAGAATACTTCATATTCGATGAAAAATAATTTTCATACTAATTGGTCATTTTTTGACAATGTATTCTATCATCATATTTTACATAAATGTTATTGTTGATCACTCCCAGAAAGATTTCGAATGACCAAAGCACTAAATACTGCTGCTCAAGAATAGAAATACTTCTATTTCAAATACTATCAATTGTTCTCTTTTTAAGACTAGAATCATCTTTGTTCACTTTTAACCCTGAACCTTCACCATGTGCGAATAATCAATGGTCGATGATACGGATTTCGTACTTAGTTTTTCGTAGTATCTATTAAATAAACTTTAGATATGTCGATAATCAAACGATACTTTTCATATTACTCTTCAAAATATGAGATTTGGAAACAGAAATTCGTTTTTTTATAGTCAATCTGTCCCATCGAAAGAATAAAAAACATTATCTATCCATAACAGAAGTTTTCCTGGAAGAGAGGCAGAACAAAAGGATTCGAT